GGACTTATTCTTTCAAAGAACGGCATGTTTCCACTGGAAGCTCTTTTTGCTGGTCAGTCTGAGGCACGAATTTCGCAGCCATCCTTCTCATTCCCAAATTCCTTTAAAATTTGTTGAACCGAGCTCCAGGATACTCCAGATAACGTCCCCATCTCTTCAGTGGCCCTTTGTCAGTCTTGGAGCACAAGTGCACGAATTTTATGGCCATTTTTGTCTGTTCAGGAAGTTGACAGACGTCCAGAATAAGGTTTGTCATTAATCAACATTTCACCGTTTTGAAATGAGAAAACCACTCTGCACTTGAATTTTTCCCATAGCACTGTCCTTGTAAACTGTGTTGCATATCACAACAGTTTCTGCGGCATTTTTCCTGAGCAGGAAACAAAATTGTACAGCTTCATGTTGTTCTCCTAAATCATCCACGAGGGTTGAGTGAAACTGCTTTCATGAAAAAATGCACTGGGACCAAAAATTCCCAGGCAACACCACTGGGTGCACTAACTCAGAGTGAGTAGCTTAGTGGGGGAAAATGTGTACTATGAGAGCCCAGTGCAGCTTTTTACCAGGGTTTTTTGTTTGTTTGTTTGTTTTAGGGGGGATACGCCCTCATACGTCTTTTACATTCTAGCAGGGTCAGCCATGGTGGGCAGATTTCAGCAGCTTCCAGACAGTGAAATGTTTTATGTTCTTGGGTTTTTTCTTTCCTTGGGGAAATGAATTTCAATGTAGGAATCATTTCTTTGCCTGCTTCCTTATCTTCATAACAATTTGGCTAAAAGATTTCATTAAAATAAAAGTTGATGCTTTCTTGCTGCTTGAATATTATTTGATAGAATGCTAGAAACTGATGGACATTTCACTATATTTTATGTTTTTGTGGGTTAGCATATATATATTTGCTTAGATCTTGGATTATGGGTTAAATTATATTTCTGAAACTCTTTGCAAAGCACAAATCTTGGTATTCTGTGATTGGCTTACAAAGGCTGCCAGCTTTGATTGGGAGGGTGCTGCTGGGGCAGCATTATAGAGGACTGTAACTGCATGGACACCCTTGAGGTAAACGGAGGAAGACACCTGGAGGAGGGCAGGCAGGCGTCACATAGATGTGAAAGACACAAGGTAAACTTTAATGAACTGACTCTTAAATACTTACATGTGACGAATAGACAACTCTAGGTCTATTTGTGGTAGAGACAGTGTGATTTTTATGACTATACTGTAACCTGGAAAGG